TCGGCAGCCCCAGCCAGTGAAAAAATGTGTTTTTGTTCTCTGGGAAATGTAGCAGCGCTCCAAGAGCAAAAAGACAACTCTGGCTCCAAGCTTCTCCCACCCACAGTCATGGAAAAGTGACATGAAATTTCTCAAGCAGACTTTCTGATTAAAGCAAGATCCTTTATGGAGTTTAAATAAAAACCAGCCCTCTTGGCAAGACGGCGAGAAAGCCTCCCCGAGCGCGGCGCGGAGGGGCTGCCGGGCGGCTGCTGGGGGAGCTAGCGTTCCCGGGCCCAGATCTGAGGGAAGAGGAGGAGGTTGAAAAGAAAAGGGGAGGTTTTGCAATGTCATAAAAATGATTTGCAGCGAACATGCTTAATACTTCAGGAATTTCTTGGCATCATTTAATTAAAAAAAATAATAATAAAAAGAAGGAATAGGGGTGAACTTCAGAAATGTGATTAATCCTTTAAGACAAGCTGAGGAGGGGAGCCATGTTTCCACTGGGTATTAAAGCCAGATGAAGGTTAACTCTTAACTTGTGAAAAGCTGGCAGTGCCTCACGCTCCTCCAACAACGAAAGCTGCTGCTGGGTTGGGGAAGGGTGCTGGATATTTTCTCCTCCCTGCTTTTTATATTTGATCAAGGAATAAAATAGCAAGAGCCACAGAAATGGAAAGAGGTGGAGAAGAGGCGAAAGCTCAGCGTCTGCCTGCCCACATCACGCATATTCCTCCGATCAACAAAATATAAACGAGCATCAGGAAAATTAATGTGCGCCTTGGTGGTCTGGATTCATCACAGCCAAATTAAGATTTCAGAGCCAAGGCATAGGCTCCAGCAATGCTGGCAGGGATATGCGCACACACACACACACACTCACGCACAGACCCTGAAGAGGAGAAGGGGCCCATGAGCCCAGAAGAAGAGCAGACCCCGGGCTCCAGCACGCCAAAGCCCACCAGGGAGCTTAGGGAGATGGAAAATGATGTTCCCGTGCTGAGGGACCTCCAGGACAACCTTGGGCTGGGCAGATGGGGGGATCTCTTGTGTGCAGCCCCCCAGCTGGCAGCTCAGCCCCCCACACTCACAGCTGTGAGTGCTGCAGCCACGCAGCGGAGGAGCGGGACCCCTGGCTCTTCCTGCCTTCCCCTCCCAGACCAGCCGTGGGGTGAAGGTGTGGATGGAGGGGGAAAGAATGGAAGGAAAGGAAACCTGGAGGAGCAAGAACTGGGCACCACTGGAGGAGTGAAACTGGCAGGGGAGAGGGGAAAAACATCGCCCGGGCACCGGGACAAACTATTTTCCAATACGCAAGTGTATGAGCTTCCTGCCAAATTACTCCCCTAAATTCCTGCTCCCCCACAGCAAACAAGACTGTTTTATTTGTCAGTGGGTTTTGGCCACGGGTTGTCTCAGCTGCTACGCTCCCCGCTGGTACAGGCGCACACAGCCCTGCATTAACACCGATGGGTCGGCTACAGCCAGCAAGGGGTGGTCGGGAGCACTCCCGGCCCCCTCCTTGAGCTGGACAAGCCCTCCCCTCACACATCCCATCAACCGGCCCCCAGCACAGCAACACGGATGGTGCTGCGCTGTGCTGGGACACCCAGCTTCATCCTAGGGGCTTCAAATGAGCCGCCCCCAAGATTTGTGGGGCCATGGATGCCTTCCACCCACCAGGCAGCGCCGTGCCGGTAGGGGTGGAGGAGCGGCTCAGTGCCGAGCACAGATGCAGCACTCACCCCCTTCTCGTCTAACATGCAATTTGCACCCCGAGCCTAACTCCCGCTGCAACTCGGAGAAACCACATCCCCTCTCCACTGGCTGGGTTTTTCTTTTCACATGGTGGCGCCTGGCGTGCCAGCCCATGTCCTTGTCCTTAAAAGACACTCTTGATCCCAGTGAAGCAGCAAGTCACCACCCACCAGCCACTGGCCAAGAGGTGCTGTGGACAGACAGCGTGCTGCCCCAGCTAACAGAGCTTGTTTTATCTTCTTTTCCCCCCTTTCTTTTGTTTAGAAAGCGATGCAACCAAATGCCATCGCTTGTGTCCATTTGTGCCCCACTCTGAGGTGTGATGGGGTGAGCCGGTGCACAGGGAGGGTCAGCCCTGTGTCTGGCTGTGCTGCTGTCATCAGGGAGGCAAACCAGCTGAATCCCAGGGCTGGGGGCCAAGCAACAAAGCAGGCGAGACAGACTGGATTAAATGCATGTGAGACCATAAATAACTCGGGAGAAGAAGCAGTAGTAAATAAAATGCCGGCCCTCAAGGTGAAAGTCGTCCCTGCTGTAGGGAAGGGTGAGGGAGGGAAGGGAAAGATCCCAGGAAGGGGAATGTGCAGGAATGGGAGTCCTCCAGCTTGAGGGCAAGCACCTTCCACTAATTCCCCCTCTCCTGTCAGAGCAGTCTGGGGCTACTGCTCTCACTCCCTGTCACTGCAGGAGCCTCGGTACTGGCACTGTCACCACCAGCCCCCTCTCTCCCTGCTAGGACAGACGCAGCCCCCCAGTCTCCCCCCTGCTCACACAGACCCAAGCACATTCGCCCCCTACTATGCCCCAGCCCCACTCTCCCAGGTCACCCCTGGCCCATCTCGCAGCCCTTATGCCACAGCTCTGCTGGCTCCCCGAACACCACCTGTGTTTTCCTTCTCTCCTCTCTTCACGCCACCTCTGCCCTCAGGGCCAGAGCCCCCCATGCCTGCTCAGCAAATGCTTTTCCAGCACGCAGCGGCCCCCCGCTTCCCTCCCTCCTGCCATTGCCTCTGGGGAGCCATCAGGGGAGAGGCCTGGATGGAGGAAAATGAATGGGGCTGTCTTCAGAAAGCAGCTGCAAATTCCTGGGGGATGCCCAGCCCGACCCGGCGCAGGGGCACTGCCTGCGAGCGCTGCATGCTGAGGCCCGGCTTCCCCCAACAGCTGCCACAAAGCTGAAGTTGCCCTCACTGTCAATGGAGAGGAGCCTCCCTTCTCCCACAGCGTCCCCAGGACACACACACCCTGCACTCCTCTCGTCCCTGGCCACAGGGTACGCCCTGGAGCAGGCGGAATTCCTTGGCTGCATTCCTCATCCGTATTTTTTTTTGTTGTTTTGTTCTTAAATGTCATGTCTATCCAGGTCAGGCTTGCTGTTGTGCTCACTGCACTGATTTTCCATGCACACAGCTGAAGGCTTTCACCACCTCTGCCCACCAGCTTTGCTCCAGCCCCACACTTCAGCTGCCCTGTGAGCCCCACCGAAGGCTCTCAACCTTCCAAGCCTTTTGCTGTTGCAGGAGCAGCCCACAGTGCCATGTTCATATCCCTGGTGGATTTATCCAGCCCCATCAGAGCCTGCTGCAGCCTTTTTCATATAGCACCTCCAGCCAAGGGGCTGGACCCTCAGGCAGTTTGACAACTTTGCAACCTGGAAGCGGGCAGAGAAAATACCTTTCTTTTCCTTGCAGCTCTCAGCCATGTGAAGGCCTGGATGGAAAAACAGGAATATCCCTGCCCCATCCATTTAAGCTGTCCCAGACTCCAGTCCATCACCACCAGCCCCAAGGGCTGTCTCACGGCTACGCAGGGCCAGGCCAGCAGCAATCAGGAGGAATCGATCTGCACTGATGTGCCACAGGCTGCCAAGGTTGAGTGTGGGATCCTGGAGCACCAGGTCAGCTCTAACTGGACTCAAAAAAAGCCCAAGCAGTGCCCGAAGAGCTGCTCCTTTGGTTGCTTTAAGAAACCTTCCTCTTTCTGCAAATCCCCCCTCCCTCCGCCCCTCAGCTGTACAATAGATATTTTATCTCTGCTGGAGTAATTAAATGCTAGTTTCAACCAGCCCTCCAAGCTAGGGAGAGTAGGGATGGACTTGGCATTGCTGTGCCACAGATGGCAGAAGGAGGTATCAGTCTCAAGGCTATGCTGTGGCTGCCAGCTCTGCAGCGATGGTTACCTGCTCGCTGACTGTCAGCAAAGCATGAGGAGGCTCTGAGAGACCAGACATGAGCAGCCTGGGTGTTTTCCCCAAAGGAGGCAGAGAGACAGGAGTGGAAATAGCCTAAAAGTTGGCCAGATGAAGTTACAACCACCCCATGAAACCTGGTAAGACACTCCAGGTCCTCTTCCGAAATAAACTTAAATCTTGAAATATGTCCACATACCCATCCCTCTCTGCTGCTTTCATTCACATTCTAGTTTCACTCCTCCCCCAGCCCCCTAGAATAATTTTTGGGTGGGGGCTAAGACTTGCAGAGGGTTTTCTTTCAGCCTAGCAGGTGATCTGGAAGACATGTATCAAGTGCAACGCTGACCTGCCGAGGGCTCCCCTCTCCACAGCCAGGACCATGGTCCCCACTGAACCAGATCACAGCAAGGCCCTGTGGAGGAGGTCTGGAGCAGGAGTGAGAGCCTGTGGCACATCTGCTACCACTCATTCCCTCCCAAAATTGGTGCCCCCTGTTATTTCAGACCACTGCAAAGCCACTGCTGAAAGCAGACTATAGCTCACAAACATGAAACTGGTTATTCGAAGCCCTCCAGTTTTCCCTCCTACACCTTCAGCCCCACGTCTTTCCTGCACTGACCTCTCTCTCCCTCTGGTAGCTGAAGGCGATTTGGCTCTTGGAGAGGGCTCCTCAGTTGTGGCTTTGATTATTCCCGAGGAACACGGTGGGACCTTCCGGTTCGCTAGGACCGGTTTCCCACCCACTACTGATGCTAGACCACAGCAGACCAATAGGTCAAACAGCCATGCTTTGTCCCAGCAGACAGAGCTGGTGGTGGTGGGTTGGGGTGAGGGGAAAAAAAAAAGAAAAGAGGATCAGTCTAAGAAGGAATTGATCAGGCTGAGAAGCTGTGCACAACCTGCTCTCTTAAATGCAAACCATGCCCTTGGTAATCCCATCCACCTCTCCCCTCCTCTCCTTCCCTCTATCAGGCCACCAGCACACACAGCCCCCTTTCTGCTCTGGAATGTGTTCTCCGAAACTTAATCTCAGCATGGGGCTCAGGCCAAATCCCTCGACAGATTCGGCCCTGTGACAACCCCCTCCCACCCTCCTTCAGAGCTCAGCAGCTCTCCCTTCACTTTCCCTCACCTCCTCCTCCTCCCACCCGGTCCGGCCTAAACATTTCATTCCTGATTAATGTATCAGTGACAAGCCAATAGTTTTTGGCTTTAAAGCAAAGCCAGCCCCTACTTTGCACAAACATCTTCACTTCTTCATTTTCTTAAGGCTTAGCCCCAAACTTCCCCTTGCCAGGAAGACGGAGCCCCTTCCACACCCCAGGGCTGTCATTGCCAGGGGGATGGCAGCCTCCTCTGCATGTGCTTGCTCCACCAAAAACTGCACAGGTCTCTGAGAAGATCAGACTCTCCATTGCTTAAATAAGGGTGGTCCACACAGACCCCCGCCCTATTTCCAAGCATGCCTAGGCTGCCCTGTCTCAGATGCATCCAAATATGGCACTTTCTCACATTTGAGCGTAATGTCTAGCCAAAACCAGCTGCCTGTACGAGAAGTTCCCCACTCTAAGAGATCCCCTCCCAAGTACACGTCTCCTTGGTCCATTGTCAGTGCCAGAGGGCAGCAGAGAGGAGCAAGTAAGCTCAGAGATAGGAGCAAAGCCCCTGGCTCAGAGCTGTGTCACGAAAACAAGGTGGCTCTTTGCTGCCATGCCACTGCAACCTCATAGGAAGATGACAAAGCCTTGGAAAGGGGGAGCACCAAGCACCCCCCCGGGACCACAGCAGTGGTAATGAATACAACCTCCTGACTCTTAAAGACAAAAACCTTGCAACAACTGCTTTTAGATACTCTGCTTTCCTGTGTCTGCCTCCTGTCAGCTTCTGCATACACCTTTACCAAATGAGAACAGCACAACCTCTGTCTTCAACGTCTCCGTGCAACCATTCTCCCACCTTCCCTTTCCCTCACCTTGCCTTTTGGCAAGGGATCTTCCCAATGGCACACAGAGGACCACCAGACCTTAATACAGGTACCTAGAAATGCCTCCTCACCGCAACCAGACTAATCTTTCCTTAGTGTGAGCATGAGGGCTGGTACTTTGGCTACCATAAACCCAGGGGCAACACAAAAAAGTGCAGATCCCACCCCAGCACAAGCAGGGCAGGGGACTTCACTTTCTGTGGGTAAAAATTAGCACATGCTGACCCAGCACTGGTAATAGCCCTGCAGCAGCCCAAGCAGCAGTCTGGCCATCAGTACCAGCAGGTACTTTTTGGTAACCTCAGTCAAGAAGTCAGCAACCAGATGGGGAAGCATGACAGTCAGGAAACCAACCGCGTGCACAAACCCCATCGCTTGGTTAATTCCCGCTCTTTGTGGTCTTTACAGACACTGTCACTGCAGGACAGGCCTGCAGCCTACCATGCAGGACTGCTTTGTTCACAGCTGGGCCACAACATGCCACAACAGCCTGTCCATGATCAAAAATGCTACAAAATGGCCTAAGCCAAAGGAGCACTCCCTTGATGCCAGTGTGAACAAGTGAGCGCTGATGAGCCTCTCAAGATGCGCGAGTGATGGCCCCAGCAATGCAGGGGATGGCAGACGACTAAAGCTACTCACTAGCTAAAGTGACCACTGCAGGTACGCTGGCAATGACTCCTTCGGGCACATGAGCGATGCACTGGTATCGCCCCACGGTGTGGTTGTTGAGAGCCGTGACGATGAGTTTCCCTCGCTCGATGTGGATACCCAGCACCTCATCTGATCCAGCCAGCTCCTTCCCATTCAGCCTCCAGCTGAGGTTCACTCTGGGGGGGTCCACAAGACATCCCAGGCTGACTGGACCCCCAAGCTTTTGGACAATGGAGGCAGGTTGCACTGTGACCTGCAGAGATTCACCTGCATAGAGGGGAAAATAGGGGTATAAGAAAAGGTCTGTGAGACTCAGCAAAAGAAAGGACAGAGAAAAAAACTGCAGTGCTGGTACATTTTGTGTTCCCCATTGCTTCCACTTGTGCTGCACCTTCCCCTTAGCTCCCCACATGCACAACCTAGTGCTTGGAGATGCCAGCCCCATTTCTTCTTGGCACCACCAGAGAGAGATGCCCAACTCTGTATTCTCTTCACCTCTGGAGCAGTGTTTGAACCGAGACCTTTGCTCAGGGCTATTGAGGAAGCAGTGGAGAAAGAAAACCACTTCATGCTTGAGGCACACCTACGTAAACAGCACCAGAGCAAAACACAAGTGAAATGAAACAAATGGGTAAGAACAGAAACTCACTCAGTTTGGCGAAACAGCTAGCAGCTGCAAGGATGAGGCAAGGGATGGGGGACATGGGTCTCTTCTTTCCACGTGTCATTGCCATCCCATGCGATGTGTTTTGGAGTGCCCAGGGAAGGGTCCCATAAGCTGCCTCAGGGGATGCAGTGGACGTGTGGCAGTGGATTCCTGTGGATGATAAGAGACACAATAGATGAAACCCTTAGACTTCCCTCTGCTTTCCAGCCCAGCCTGGCTTCTCTACCAACATCGAAACATAGAATTGTCAGGGTTGGAAGCGATCTTAAAGATCACCTGGTCCCAACCCCCTGCCATGGGCAGGGACACCTCCCACTAGACCAGGTGGCTCCAAGCCCCATCCAGCCTGGCCTTGAACGCTGCCAGGGAGGGGCATCCACAGCTCCTCTGGGCAACCTGTGCCAGTGTCTCATCATCTTTGCAAAAAATTATTTCTTTCTAATATCTAAATCTAAATCTACCCTTTTTCAGCTTGAAACCATTACCCCATGTCCTCTCGCTACACTCCCTGATAAAGAGTCCCTCCCCTGACATCCCTAAAATCCCAGGGATTCACCAAGCCAGTAGCCTGAGGAGGCTACAGCCACTGATGTAAGCACTTTTCTCCAGCCTCTCCACCAAGAATGGTTGTGAGTCTCCCAAGACATCCCATCCTCAACCCTTCGTACAAATCCATGTGTGCTCAGACAGCCACGTACTCCTCTTCTCTACTTCAGATGTGGTGCAGTCAACGCCTGTACTGCGCCAGCTACACACACCAACCAATATTCAGGAGCAAAACACAAACGTTTCCAACAAAGTGTCACTGAAGATATTTGCTAAGTGTTGCTGCCACTTCTTGGCTGTGTCTGGAATATATTCTAGCTTGAACACAAAAGTACAAGTCCTGAGCTACATGAAAACAAAAGCGATCCTGCAGTTTCAGAGTCTCTTCCTGAGACACTGGCCATTTTGCTCCTGGGCACACTTATATTTCAATCCAGATGGGACTCTTTGGGAGACGTAAAAGTTTTTCAGGGCATTTCTGCAAGGAATTGTTCTGAAGTGGAGGGGGCATCTTTTCAGGAAAAAAAGAAAAAGTCATCTCTAAATTTCTTTAAATTCAGTGCAGTGACCTAAGGGTGGATTACACTAACTTGGCATAATATTCTAAACTAAGAGACCAAATCCATGGAAATATTTCAGACTAACTGTTCTGCCTGAAACACACTGCCTATTTTGAGTTGAACTACCTCGTCTGGACAAACCACCAGGTTTGTATCTGAAAGCACCAACAATGTCCAAAAAACTTGAAGCCCAAGACCACCCATCGTAAACCAGGTTGCTGTGAAGAGCTGCACACTGCAGTGGCTGTTTTGGAGAGACTGTCATGAAGGAGTGCTAGAGAAAACAGGCCAGCTCAGGGGGATTAAAAGTCTAAGTGGCTGCCCCAGAAGACTCCTAAGATGTCACACTGAATTCAGCTCCGGCAAAGGGGTGAAGTCAAGAAGAGACTTCCCTCTATGGAAATCATGACACAGCTACAGGACTGAGCTCCCTCCAGTTGCAGCACTAGGAAGATGACCTGTGAGTCTCAAAGGCATTTCAGAATTGCTCCTGTGCCATGTCTATGTTGGCAGGGAAGAAGCCCAAGAGCAAACCAGCCATGGCAGCCAGCTCAAACAGCAATTAAAGTTACCTGCTCCCTCTGCACAACGAGCTCATTAGCCACAACCTCAAGAGCACCTGGAGCCTGCAGAGCAGCATTTCCTACTTCCACCGTGGTCACTGTTTGAGCCATGACCTGTTCAAGCACATTCTTTTCGTAACCACCCTAGTCAAAAGGAGACAAGTCCCTTCAAGCATAACCTCCCAAATTAAACCTCCTAACTCCTGAAGTAAGGACTGCCACAGCCTCCCCAGGAGATATTCGGTGAGCTGTTGAAGGCAAGGCTGAATACTGCGGGCAAGGGACCACAGCATTTAGTGACATCTCACCAAGCTGCTCTCAGATGACTGTGCTTGCCCTCTGGTGGCAGCAAAGGTGCAAGAGCACATTATGGGGTAACGTCCATGGGCACCTCTGCCGAAGCTTTGAAAACGCCACAGAGAGCATCTTCACATGGTGCTTTTCAGGCTGATGTAAGCTCACTTAGTGGGTCTGCCCCATGGGCTTGAAGCAAAGCAGCTCTGTCCCAGGAGTCATGCAGTCATGGTTAGCTTGGTCGTGAGGCCAAGATGACAAGCCCTGCTGAGAGGCAGGGTAAATTAGGTCAAGCTTGGCATGGCCCGACATGGCTACCAGGCAGCCAGGAGAACGGAGAGAGCTCAGCCGTGGGGTGTCAGGCTGGGCATACTCTGAAGGTACCCAGAAAGATCAGCGAGACTCAGACTCTAGCTACTGCAACCCACAGCCTCATTACACATGAAAATCCTCTGTGGGTCACCTTCAGTGCCAAAGTGACAGGACAGCAACTTCCACCCCACACATCCCACCCTTCCTGGTATTCACTCTCCTCACCCAAGAAGACAAGAGAGTCTCAACAATTTGTCTTTGAAGGTTTCCTCACATCAACCAGCACATACTGCTGTATGAGATCCTTTAGCTATTGACTTGGAGACCATCCGAGTATCCGAGTTACTCAAGTTCATTTCTCCATGTAGGACAGCCACAAAAGCATGCTTCATTCTGCCACAGCCGTTCTGGGCAAATCACCATTGACCACGGCTGTAAAAGTGGCCGAGGTCTGTCCGTACCAGAACATACACTGTCAACACCACTGCTGATATTCAAGTTGATGTGCCACTAATTACACTCATCTGGAAAAGACTTTGAGTTAGTTTCAGCTTAAAAAGACCTCACACCATAAGGTTTGCTGGAGACTGAAATCCTTCTGCCAATGCAGAAGGAATATTTTTGGGTAGGACTTAAAGTCTTGTTCCTCAGTGCTGGAAGCCTATAGAGCAAAGCTGACTCATTCCTCCTATCTGGATGGATTTGGCAGCAGGATGGAAAAATTTTGGATGGAAAAGAGCTGCTCCTTGGAGCCCATGCTGGGGGAAGGGGTAAGCAAAGACGTTCCCAACCAGACCTCCCTGCAGCTCTGCGTCGCGCAGAGCCTCTGGCCAGAAAGGCAGAGCCAAAGGTGCAGAAACACGTAGTGGACCCTTCGTGAGCTGAGACCACCCAGGCACATTGATGTAACGACTAAGCTGGCTGGTCCCAGGTCTGTAAGATGGGGGCCAACAGGTGGGGAGGTAAAAAAAAGGGAGATCAAAAAATTTGGCCATGGCACCAGGCAGATTGAACAGTCCTACGCAGAGACTGAGAAGGTGTGTTGCAGCAAGTGCACGGTACCTCCCCAAAACTGCAGGCAGAGTGTGAGCTCTAAATAGGGACATGTGGCCATTTCTTTCACAGATGAGTGAAGTACAAAAAGTAAATGGCCAGCATAAAAATAATGAGGAAAATGAATGAAAACATCAATTCCAAAAGAACTATTAGGATCCAGGGCCAGATTTCGAAATTCTCAGCTTCCACAATTGAAGCCAGATTTTCAAAAGCATTCAGTTCTTGACGTGCTGAGCTCTCCTGAATAGGCAACCAACTTATTTCGATACCTAAATGGGAGCTGACCTCTTTTGAAAATGCTGCCCTTAAGCAGCCTGCAGTAGTGCAAAGCAAGGAACTTTATTAATCTGGCAGCTTTCGATCTGCCTGGCGTCCCTGCAAGCACCGCCGGAGTGGGCTGCAGCAGGAGAGGAGGCAGAGGTGGGGAGCAGAGGAGGCCCCAGGTGCTCTGGTTGCCACCCCAGAGGAGACGGCTGTGGGCAGAGGGCTGAGCTGGGAGCCGCAGGGCTGCTGTGCGATGGTTGGCATCCTGCTCTGCTGCCTCCTCTCCCCAAGGCAGATACTCTGCAAGATACCCCAGGGGCTGCAAACACTTCTGACACCACCAGCCTCAACAGCTCCTGCTTAGTTGCTGTCTGGGAAAAGAAAGAGTTAAAGTAATTCAAAGAGCTTCAAGGGGAGGGGGGGAACAAAAATAATTTGTTTATTTATTTTTAATTCTTTCCTGCCAGGTTAAAATAACAATTTCCTGTCCGTGGAGCTCTAAATCCCTTTCAGACAGCTCAGTAAATCAAAGGAGAGGCCATTAGGAGAACAGAATTAACGAGAGTTTCATCAGGTATGGAGGGGCAGTGGGGGTGTAAAATCTGTCGGCTCAGCTTCCCGCCACACACCCTCAGCCCAGCAAGGCCCATGCCACAGCCCCAGCTGGGCCACGGCCACCGAGGGCACGGCGACGGCAACAGGCCAGGAAAGCAAAACCAGAGGTGAAGATATAGAAAGGAAGAAAGGCGTGTGCGGGGCGGCGGGGTGGGACGTGTGATAAAGCTCGAAGGCAAAAGGGGATCTGAATTAAGCGCAGGCAGCAGGAGAGGTGTTTACTGATTAGACACTGAAGGTTTTACTGAGGAAATGCTGCTCGCAGCCCCAAGCCCCCTCCTGCTTAACAAGGGCTGGCCAAGCAGCCGCTGTTACTGCCACACTGTCTGTAATTTATAAGGCTCCCAAATAGGAACCAGCCTCTCCCTCCGGCTCTGGGGCAGCATCCCTGCACCCCAGCAACGCGGGCAGGCAGGGGGGGAAATGCGGAGGCAGACTGGGAGATGAGGAAAACTCCCTGAGGCACACGAGTGTGTTTTGGGGTTGTGTCAGGCGGCCGGACCCCGAGCACCCCTTCGTGCCGGGGAGGGCAAGGGGCTGCTTTGTGCTAAGGCAGAAGCTGCAGCAATTCGGGTCCAGCTCCCAGCTGGGGACACCCTGGGTGACTCTGGAGAATTCCCTGCAGCTGGTCTCCGTTTCTGACAGGTCAAGTAGGGCCAATGATACTCTCAGTTCTCCGTTTTACACATTGAGACTTAAGGTCTTCAGAAAAAGCAAATGTCTTTCTCAGTACAGCGTGTCAATTTTACTTGTAATGATTATTTTTTAATACAAGACAGTATTTTTTTTCCTGTTGTTCCATAGAGCTTAAAAGTACTGAAAAGAAAATGCAAAAGAGAAAAGAGCCACAGTGCCCC